TCACCTTGATTCTGTCTTGACTGACCATCTCACCTTGATTCTGTCTTGACTGACCATCTCACCTTGATTCTGTCTTGATTGACCATCTCACCTTGATTATGTCTTGATTGACCATCTCACCTTGATTCTGTCTTGACTGACCATCTCACCTAGATTCTGTCTTGACTGACCATCTCACCTTGATTCTGTCTTGACTGACCATGTCACCTAGATTCTCTCTTGACTAACCATCTCACCTTGATTCTGTCTTGATTGACCATCTCACCTTGATTCTGCCTTGACTGACCATCTCACCTAGATTCTGCCTTGACTGACCATCTCACCTAGATTCTGTCTTGACTGACCATCTCACCTTGATTCTGTCTTGATTGACCATCTCACCTTGATTCTGTCTTGACTGACCATCTCACCTTGATTCTGTCTTGACTGACCATCTCACCTTGATTCTGTCTTGACTGACCATCTCACCTTTCTGTCTTGATTGACCATCTCACCTTGATTCTGTCTTGACTGACCATCTCACCTTGATTCTGCCTTGACTGACCATCTCACCTTGATTCTGTCTTGATTGACCATCTCACCTAGATTCTGTCTTGACTGACCATCTCACCTTGATTCTGTCTTGACTGACCATGTCACCTAGATTCTCTCTTGACAAACCATCTCACCTTGATTCTGTCTTGATTGACCATCTCACCTTGATTCTGTCTTGACTGACCATCTCACCTTGATTCTGTCTTGACTGACCATCTCACCTTGATTCTGTCTTGATTTACCATCTCACCTTGATTCTGTCTTGATTGACCATCTCACCTTGATTCTGCCTTGACTGACCATCTCACCTGGATTCTGTCTTGACTGACCATCTCACCTTGATTCTGTCTTGATTGACCATCTCACCTTGATTCTGTCTTGACTGACCATCTCACCTTGATTCTGTCTTGACTGACCATCTCACCTTGATTCTGTCTTGACTGACCATCTCACCTTGATTCTGTCTTGATTGACCATCTCACCTTGATTCTGTCTTGATTGACCATCTCACCTTGATTCTGTCTTGACTGACCATCTCACCTTGATTCTGTCTTGATTGACCATCTCACCTTGATTCTGTCTTGACTGACCATCTCACCTTGATTCTGCCTTGACTGACCATCTCACCTTGATTCTGTCTTGATAGACCATCTCACCTTGATTCTGTCTTGACTGACCATCTCACCTTGATTCTGTCTTGATTGACCATCTCACCTTGATTCTGTCTTGATTGACCATCTCACCTTGATTCTGCCTTGACTGACCATCTCACCTTGATTCTGTCTTGATTGACCATCTCAACTTGATCCTGTCTTGATTGACCATCTCACCTTGATTCTGTCTTGATTGACCATCTCACCTTGATTCTGTCTTGACTGACCATCTCACCTTGATTCTGCCTTGACTGACCATCTCACCTTGATTCTGTCTTGATTGACCATCTCACCTTGATTCTGTCTTGGCTGACCATCTCACCTTGATTCTGTCTTGACTGACCATCTCACCTAGATTCTGTCTTGACTAACCATCTCACCTTGATCCTGTCTTGACTGACCATGTCACCTAGATTCTGTCTTGACTAACCATCTCACCTTGATTCTGTCCTGATTGACCATCTCACCTTGATTCTGTCGTCGCTGCTAAAGCCATCCAGCTGCCTCAGCAGCTCCAACAATATTCATCGAACCATAACTTGTCCTGACCATCAAGATCACCTTGATTCTGTCTTGATTGACCATCTCACCTTGGATCTGTCTTGACTGACCATGTCACCTTGATTCTGTCTTGACTGACCATCTCACCTTGATTCTGTCTTGACTGACCATCTCACCTTGATTCTGTCTTGACTGACCATCTCACCTTGATTCTGTCTTGACTGACCATCTCACCTTGATTCTGCCTTGACTGACCATCTCACCTTGATTCTGTCTTAATTGACCATCTCACCTTGATTCTGTCTTGACTGACCATCTCACCTTGATCTGTCTTGACTGACCATCTCACCTAGATTCTGTCTTGACTAACCATGTCACCTTGATTCTGTCTTGACTGACCGTCTCACCTAGATTCTGTCTTGACTAACCATCTCACCTTGATTCTGTCTTGATTGACCATCTCACCTTGATTCTGTCGTCGCTGCTAAAGCCATCCAGCTGACTCAGCAGCTCCAACAATATTCATCGAACCATAACTTGTCCTGACCGTCAAGATCACCTTGATTCTGTCTTGACTGACCATCTCACCTTGATTCTGCCTTGACTGACCATCTCACCTAGATTCTGTCTTGACTGACCATCTCACCTTGATTCTGCCTTGACTGACCATCTCACCTTGATTCTGTCTTGATTGACCATCTCACCTTGATTCTGTCTTGATTGACCATCTCACCTTTATTCTGTCTTGACTGACCATCTCACCTTGATTCTGCCTTGACTGACCATCTCACCTTGATTCTGTCTTGATTGACCATCTCACCTTGATTCTGTCTTGACTGACCATCTCACCTTGATTCTGTCTTGATTGACCATCTCACCATGATTCTGTCTTGATTGACCATCTCACCTTGATTCTGCCTTGACTGACCATCTCACCTTGATTCTGTCTTGATTGACCATCTCACCTTGATTCTGTCTTGATTGACCATCTCACCTTGATTCTGTCTTGATTGACCATCTCACCTTGATTCTGTCTTGACTGACCATCTCACCTTGATTCTGCCTTGACTGACCTTCTCACCTTGATTCTGTCTTGATTGACCATCTCACCTTCATTCTGTCTTGACTGACCATCTCACCTTGATTCTGCCTTGACTGACCATCTCACCTTGATTCTGTCTTGATTGACCATCTCACCTTGATTCTGTCTTGACTGACCATCTCACCTTGATTCTGTCTTGATTGACCATCTCACCTTGATTCTGTCTTGACTGACCATCTCACCTTGATTCTGTCTTGACTGACCATCTCACCTTGATTCTGTCTTGACTAACCATCTCACCTTGATTCTGTCTTGACTGACCATCTCACCTAGATTCTGTCTTGACTAACCATCTCACCTAGATTCTGTCTTGATTGACCATCTCACCTTGATTCTGCCTTGACTGACCATCTCACCTTGATTCTGTCTTGACTGACCATCTCACCTTGATTCTGTCTTGACTAACCATCTCACCTTGATTCTGTCTTGACTGACCATCTCACCTAGATTCTGTCTTGACTAACCATCTCACCTAGATTCTGTCTTGATTGACCATCTCACCTTGGTTCTGTCTTGACTGACCATCTCACCTTGATTCTGCCTTGACTGACCATCTCACCTTGATTCTGTCTTGACTGACCATCTCACCTAGATTCTGTCTTGACTAACCATCTCACCTTGATTCTGTCTTGACTGACCATGTCACCTAGATTCTGTCTTGACTAACCATCTCACCTTGATTCTGTCTTGACTGACCATCTCACCTTGATTCTGTCTTGACTGACCATCTCACCTTGATTCTGTCTTGACTAACCATCTCACCTTGATTCTGTCTTGACTGACCATCTCACCTAGATTCTGTCTTGACTAACCATCTCACCTAGATTCTGTCTTGATTGACCATCTCACCTTGGTTCTGTCTTGACTGACCATCTCACCTTGATTCTGCCTTGACTGACCATCTCACCTTGATTCTGTCTTGACTGACCATCTCACCTAGATTCTGTCTTGACTAACCATCTCACCTTGATTCTGTCTTGACTGACCATGTCACCTAGATTCTGTCTTGACTAACCATCTCACCTTGATTCTGTCTTGATTGACCATCTCACCTTGATTCTGTCGTCGCTGCTAAAGCCATCCAGCTGCCTCAGCAGCTCCAACAATATTCATCGAACCATAACTTGTCCTGACCATCAAGATCACCTTGATTCTGTCTTGATTGACCATCTCACCTTGGATCTGTCTTGACTGACCATGTCACCTTGATTCTGTCTTGACTGACCATCTCACCTTGATTCTGTCTTGACTGACCATGTCACCTTGATTCTGTCTTGACTGACCATCTCACCTTGATTCTGTCTTGACTGACCATCTCACCTTGATTCTGTCTTGACTGACCATCTCACCTTGATTCTGTCTTGACTGACCATCTCACCTTGATTCTGCCTTGACTGACCATCTCACCTTGATTCTGTCTTGATTGACCATCTCACCTTGATTCTGTCTTGACTGACCATCTCACCTTGATCTGTCTTGACTGACCATCTCACCTAGATTCTGTCTTGACTAACCATGTCACCTTGATTCTGTCTTGACTGACCATCTCACCTAGATTCTGTCTTGACTAACCATCTCACCTTGATTCTGTCTTGACTGACCATCTCACCTAGATTCTGTCTTGACTAACCATCTCACCTAGATTCTGTCTTGATTGACCATCTCACCTTGGTTCTGTCTTGACTGACCATCTCACCTTGATTCTGCCTTGACTGACCATCTCACCTTGATTCTGTCTTGACTGACCATCTCACCTAGATTCTGTCTTGACTAACCATCTCACCTTGATTCTGTCTTGACTGACCATGTCACCTAGATTCTGTCTTGACTAACCATCTCACCTTGATTCTGTCTTTACTGACCATGTCACCTAGATTCTGCCTTGACTAACCATCTCACCTTGATTCTGTCTTGATTGACCATCTCACCTTGATTCTGTCGTCGCTGCTGAAGCCATCCAGCTGACTCACCAGCTCCAGCATCGTTCTCTGCACCTCACGGTCCCCACTCACTTCACTGCCAGTGTTTGGGGTTCGAGGGCGAATAGACGGTTCAAAATCACAATAGTGGGTGGGAAAAAGGGAAACGATGGGAAGTGGGCACAGAGCAAGTGAACACCAATCTGCACTGGCTACTGACTACGGTATTGAGGTGACTTTTGAGTAGACTTTAAAGTCATCTCAGAGCAAGTGAACACCAAACTGCACTGGCTACTGCACTCGTTTAGTGCTGTTTGGCAAACGAGTGCATTCAATGGCATGAACATTGCAGTCCAGAGCATCAGAAAACTGAATGAAAACAGCACCATGAACAGCATTCAAACATGGGGCATAAAACTCACCTGTTAAGGCGCTTTGTATCAAGGCTCACAGATTGAACATATCACATGGGTACAGCAGACATGCTCGGTTGACTCAACAGGCACAGACGCAAGGAAAGTCAATCAGGGACAGCCAAAAAGCGGCACCCACGTTGACACCTACCATAGCTTCAGCGTCCCCCTCCTCTCTGCCCCTCTGCTCCGCCCCACTGCCCTCCTCCGCTCCGCTTCCCCCCTCCCCTCTCCCCCAGTTCCCCCTCCCCTCCCTCCCCCCGTCCCTGAGAGCCCGCGCCCATGGCTGCTCCCCCGGCACCTGGGAAAGTGGGGGGGAGGGGGGGGAGAGAGGAGAGGACCGAAAGGGCGAAAGGATAGAAACTAGTGAACATGGGTAGTGAAGTCCCTGAGAGCTCGCGCCCAAGGCTGTTCCCCCGGCACTAGGTGGGAGGTGGGGGGGAGGAGAGAGGAGAGGACGGAAAGGGGAGAAGGATACAAAACGGATGAAGGGAGAGGTGGAGAGGAGTAAATGGGGGAGGAGGAATCAAGGGAGGGGGAATCGGGGAGGGTGGGAGTAGGGGAGAAAAGAAGAGGGGCAGGCAGGAGTACGAGATTCACACCAGAGGTAGACAAAAAGAAAGATCGGATGAGTGTAGAGCAGAAGTGATGCTTCCAGTGTGGAGCCAAAAAACGCCGTCCACAAGGAGGACTCACCGGCACACAGTACAGCAACCGCCTCTCCCAGATACTGCCAAAATCTGATCCAAGATCGTGCAGGCAAAAGGAAGCAGACTCGTGCAGGCACAAGTCATGCGATATCCGAATGACTCACTTGCATGGTAAAGGAAGCAGGAGGAAGCATCCCTGCATGAAGGTCATAATGAGTCCATGGAAATCTTTCGACGTCTCAACCAAAGCCAGAAACAACCAGATCTAGGGAGTCAACGCGAGTCAATGCGGCTCAACGCACTGACCATGCCCCGGAATCTGACGAGCGAGCCCACATGCATGCGATCCACGAAATCAATGTAAGTCAAGTCAAGTGAAGGGAGTCAATGCGAGTCAACGCGAGTCAAGGCACTCACCATGCCTCGGAATCTGACTAGCGAGCCCACAGGCACGTGATCCATGCCCACTGAATTAGTCTCCGGCACCTGGTGGGGAGGAGGAGGGGGTGGGGAGTAGAAAGCAATAATGACCCTGCAGGTGTGAGGACCGACCCTGTGCAGTGCAGAACGGTCTATTAGTGCGGCGATTTGTCAGCACGAGCTTCACAAGTCGCAAAAACGAATTAAAGCTTCCCACCTTATCTATGTTCCCATCGCGAAACAGGAATTCGTCGACGAGCGTGCGAACTCCCCAGTCCCCTTCCGCCAGCTGTCGCTTTATCGCCTCCTGCGCGCCCCCGCCATCGCCGCCGCCTCCGCCGCTTTGTGCGGCGCTGAGGAGCCGGTGGACCTCGCGATCGAAAAGGACGCGCACCGCTCCCAGCGGGTTGGCGAGGAGATCGAAGGCCGGACCGCCCATCGCGAGCGACTGGCGTTCCGCGACTGAAGGTCCGTTACGCGAGTTGATGATAATCGAGATTTACTGAGCCGAGATCCGATTAGACCCGTCGATCTGGAGTGACTGGGGAAGAATGAGAGGCGTCCGTGGGCAGGCAGTGGCAGCTGGTTACCAGTCGGCTTGTTTTGTACTCTAGTTTACCAGCTGGCCGCTAGTGGTTTCGTCGAGGGCAATGCTTGTGACGTAGGGATCGCAGGCGAACACTCGCAAACGACCGATGGAGAAGGAACACAAGACCGTGCCCAGCGACGTCTGCTAAAAGCAAGGGTTACCAGTGGATTGCGATCTATAATGGGCTCGCACGCAGAAACGAACGGAAAAGGCAGTGCGACACAAGATTGATCTCGAAGGTATGGATATGACATAACAGGTGTACGCGCTAAGGAGCAATAGCTCTGTAGGATGATGATCATTGCACACTACGAGGAACAATAAATCACCCTAAGCTCATACTAGTGATCCCATAGAAGGCTGCTGTGTTATTTCTTTGTAAAAATCATATGCGGAGAAATTGATCATTCTATTTGAGAAACGGGCTGACAATGTGAACAATTTTTTTTTTTTGCAAAACGAGAATTTCAATCAGTGACGTATATGGCACAAAGTGGCAGCCCTTTGCAAGCTCCAACAGTAAAGAAGGGCATTCACACACATTACAGAAATCTCATGGCTCTGACATATGGATGCTGCATTGCCACAATGACTAACAGACACTTGATTGCATCCTCTGATCAGGAAGATGGTGTCACCAAACAGCTAAGTCAGGGGTTCCAACGTCAGCAGGGTTGGGACAAACAGAATGGCGCTGACGACGAGCAGCCAGCTCCACCACGTAAGATGTGTTGTAGAGATCCCTCCAGCATGTTTGGGAGGACAAACGGAAATACTGCACTGGCTACCCTTGTACAGTACACCTGGTAGTATGATGCATTAGGCAGACGGGAGAAGAACAGGAGAAGAACAGGGAATGGCAAAGTGAGTGTGTTGTTTTTCTTCGAAATGTCACACAGCATAAAGCAGTTGGGTGCAAGCAGCGGGTCACCCGATGCCTCAGCCAATGCACACCGTAAGTGAATCGATGCGACCACAAGCCAGAATCACCCAACAACAAATCGAAGAAAACAAAAATGAGAGAAAGCAGGGCTCTAGCAGGACTCACCCATGGTACCAGTGTTGATGTCGACCTCATCAGCCCAATTGGGCTGGAAGGTATAACTGCAGCCACCGAATTTGTTGGACGCGCACGCCTGCGGTGAACGAGTTTTGCAACCAGTTGAAGTGTCATGCAATGTTGGTGATGTGGTCGGATGAGATCCAACGAGGTCCAATGCGGTCCACGTACATGAGGAGAAAAGGGGTGTGGCGAAGAGGGAGGAGGAATAAGGAAATCGGAAGTTGTTGCATTTCGAGCAGAGAGCAGAGGGAGGAGCAGAAAGCGAAGAGCAATGCGCAATTCGAGCCTTTGCCAACGAAGGCGCCAGAAACGCCAAGTTTCGGTTTCTCCACCTTTTCACCGAGAAGAGAAAGTAACCCGCGACCTTGGGCGATGATCCATCTGGCAGGTGAAACAAGAACGCGCAATGCTCTTGTGAATCTGAATCGTTACGGAGTTACATACCGCGCAATTAGTGGCACAGACTTCTCTCTGCGCGCTCCGTGTCCCGTTCTTGCACAGCGTGCCACAGTCGATCTCGGTGGCGGCTACTATGCCGCAGCGTGCGAAGACTGTGAGAATAGCAGCAACCATTACTAGGCTCCTCATTGTCGGGGAAACGAACGTCATGACTTCGAGAGGTGCAGTTGAGGTATCAACCAATCAACCTGATTGATAGTGGCGAACAATGCAGCCTACTAGATAAATTGTTGAGAACGCTTAACGAAAAGACAATGACCACTACTAGTAGACTCGGGTGTTTATACTAACATGCCAGCCGAGGAAACCACGCGAGAACAGGTCCTCGCGTCGCGACGCAGGGGAGTCGCGAGCAGGAACAACCAAGTCGGCGCTCACCTCGTCCTTACAAATGTTCAAGGACAACCTCCTCCTCATCCTTATCCTTATCCCATCGAGCCCGGACGCGATCCGAACGAATCAGCTCGCATGGTGCGGCCGTCGAGCCCGGACGCGATCCGAACGAATCAGCTCGCATGGTGCGGCCGATGTGTGAGGTGTGCAGCCCTCTGAGGTAACATGCTTGCGGTACAGGTGACGATGCAACTGCGCTGCGGGCAGGAAAAACAAACGCAGAAAAATCGGCAGCGCCCACGTCCAACGGGATAGCAGTTAGACTAAGGGTTTCGCTCAATGTAAGTCACTCGCCGAAAGCCAGATTGCTACAGTAGTCTTGTCCGCCGCATCTGTAGTCGCGGTGTGACGCGTGTACTGGGGCCATTGGCGTAAGGACGCGAGCGAATAAGCAGCGAGTGAGGTTGCTTAGGGTTCAGAGCAAGGGTACTCAGACAGAGGTATCGAAGCAGATGCAAGCGGACGCGGTAAGGAGCTACCTGCTGTATGACAACTGAATCATCAGAATCATTTCAGCATATCTCTTTCTTTAAAGCTCCAGTATACATTTGTCAGTGGGGTTTCGGGGTTTGTAGTGTGCCTCACAGTCTGGGGGCAACTTTTCAAGTTCCTAAGGATTTTGAACCCCTCCTTTCAAATGTATACCGGAGCTTTAAGAAACATGGCTATATTCCAACAATGAAAATGGGTCTTATTGGAGACAGCAGAAGCAAGGCCATCATCTGCTGACGTCCGTGTACACCCCTATGGGGTGAGCAGCTTTTAATTGCTCTCACATAGATATGCTGCACTGCAACTACAAGGCCGTGACAGAAACCTCTCCACCATGGCCAAAAGAACCCACTCTCTGTGCAGAAAAAAGAATCTTGGCCAGGCCACCACTAGGCAAAGGTGAAATATGTTTTTAGTTTATGCAACTGACAAAGCAAGTGTGCTCTATTTATGCGTAGTAGTTAAGGCTAGCCTTTTTCTTGGCCTGCACCTGAATAATTCCTTCATTGAAATCCTCATGCGTCACCTGCAATCAACACAATACAAAACATCCACAAGTTAGCAAAGCATGCCCTTAGCCCTGTCAAAATAAGGTGACATCAGCCACGTACGGTACATTAGGATAAGTGACGCAAGAAACGTAAACAAGCCACATCAATCATAATAATCACCTCAGTGGCGTCTCGGCGCAGGGCAAGCATGCCGGCCTCTACACAGACGGCCTTGAGTTGAGCTCCATTGAAATCGTCTGTTGACCGCGCCAGCTCCTCGAAATTCACATCCGGGTGTACATTCATTTTCCGCGAGTGGATCTGACAGGGAGGGAGGAGGGAGGGAGGGGGAGGGGGGGGAGAGGCGATTCACATCCGGGTGTACGTTCATTTTCCGTGAGTGGATCTGACAACCAGGGAGGGAGGGAGGGATGGAGGAGATTGGAACCAGATAGAAGGTTTGAGACGTCTAAGTCTGTTGACCGCGCTAGCTCCTTGAAAAGCACATCCGGGTGTATGGTCATTTTCCGTGAGTGGATCTGACAGGGAAGGAGGGGGAGGCAAGGAAGAAGCAAGCAGAGGTAGGAATTTGCAGACATCTCGGAAAATGTTGGCACCGGCAGCTCCCCAAAATTCACGTCCGGGTGTACGATCGTTTTCCATGAGTGGATCTGAGAGGGAAGGGGGGAGAGGGGATTAGAGACAGATATTGGTAGGAGGTTTGAGATGATCCCAAATATGTTGAGCTCGCTAGAAAATCACTCATCCACGGCAACTCCAAAAAGCATCCAATCGCAAACCCAGCGCACAAGCAAACAAGCATGAGAGCCCTTTCACTCGTCTCACCTGCAGGATCCGAGCTCGGGCCTCCTCGGTGGGGTGAGGGAACTCAATCTTCCTGTCCAGCCGCCCCGAACGCATGAGCGCCGGGTCGAGGATGTCGGCTCGGTTGGTGGCTGCCACGACCTGGTGAGAAGGGGGGCGAAGGGAGGTGAATGAGGGTGACTGGTCTGGGGTGTAGGCCCGAGTAGCCGCGTGCGCATGAGAGCCGGGTCAAGGATGTCGGCTCGGTTGGTGGCTGCGACAACCTGATGGTGACACGGGGCGAATGGGGTTGAATGGGGTTGAATGGGGTTGAATGGGGGTTGGATGGGGTTGAATGGGGGTGAATGGGGTTGAATGGGGTTGAATGGGGGTGAATGGGGTTGAATGGGGTGCGGTGTAGGGGCAGGAAGGCCTGCGCAGCCCCGAGCGCATGAGAACCGGGTCAAGGATGTCGGCTCGGTTCGTGGCTGCGACGACCTGATGGTACAAAAACATCAGATTCATGTGTTGCGTTGCGAGCATAGGAGGAGAAACACGGCAAAAAGTGTTGTGAGGTGCCTCGATTCCATAAGGCCCCATGGCTGCTCGGGCATGACTGCCAACAACAGCCGAACACAGAGTGTGGATGAGCAGAAGGGCAGGAGGGCAGAAGGGCAGAAGGGCTCAGTCAGAGTGGGAGTAGGAGCAAAGATGGTGGGGAGGTGGGGAGGTGATGGTGATGTGATGGGTGAGTAGGAAGCACAGCAACCAAGCAAGACTGTCTGTGCAGGACGGTCATAGTTGGATTGGACTGGATGTCCAACTATGCGCACAGCCATCTATGCAAGACTGTCTGTGCAGGACGGTCATAGTTGGATTGGACTGGATGTCCAACTATGCGCACAGCCATCTATGCAAGACTGTCTGTGCAGGACGGTCATAGTTGGATTGGACTGGATGTCCAACTATGCGCACAGCCATCTATGCAAGACTGTCTGTGCAGGACGGTCCGAGTCCAACTATGAGCACAGCCATCTGTGTGGCTGACGGTCATCCCACCTTGATTTTGTCGTGTGACCATCCCACCTTGATTCTGTCGTGTGACCATCCCACCTTGATTCTGTCGTGTGACCATCCCACCTTGATTC